AGTTTGATGTATGGTATTTTTTGTTACAGCGGGCTGTCGCTCCATGACAACCCCTATTCGTGATCAAAAGTGTAGATACTGCCCTGGTCCAAGTGAACTAATGGCACTCTCAGTCCAGGTAGTTGAACTGATTGAGGCATAGGCGGTGACATTAAATTATTGTTGTTTCATGCTGTTCTTCTAATCCATTATGCACATAAAGCCATCCTTTCCTACGCCATCCCGAGAAAATTTTTTTACAAAAACTACTCATAAGTAGTAAATGGAAATGGACTGGGTTAATAGTATTAGTTTGTCGAGATTTTACAAATGCTTTCAGTTTAGAGGACCTCACTTGTTCTCTGTTTTCATGATGGCGCTTTGGACGTAGATTTCTTCAAAAAGGCCGACCATTTGTGGCGTCATCTGATGCGAGAGAACTGCACTTCAATCGTGAGATATTCTCAGGGCCTTTTGTTTTTATCAGCTAGATCTACGATTTCGACCGCTATGTACCAGCCACCTTGTTTGAAGCGTCTGAAGCTAGTATCATTTGCCCGATTTGTCCTCCCGTTCCGACAGTTGTGCGATGTAAAATGCGTAACCACAATCGCAATAGCCTAGAATCCAGTCAGGTTCCGTACAAAGTTCTGTCGACCTATCAAGATAACTCCGCAATCCATAACTTGTCCTCCCTTGAACTCTGAAAACGCTGCTCTGTCTGCCAGCCTATATCACGCAATTCTAAGTTGTCTACCCTGAGGATATTCAGTTTGACTGGTAACAATCTCTTGCCTTCATTTTTCAGTCCTCATATCAAGAATGCTTCCCAATATCCAATTAAGAAAAATATACGAACATATTATCCACATAGGCTTGCAAAATACAAGTGTTTGAATGATTTCTTCTTGTACCATTCAAGTAAATCACATTTAACCTTGGTATAACACACTGCGTAGACGATGAATTCTGCGTTTGATTCTTGCTTTAGGTATCTATTGAAGATCTTTCGTATCCTCAACCCATAGGACAATCTCTATCGGCATACTTCAACCCGGATTCTTGGTTTTCCCTGCTCCAAAATTCTTGGGCACGTTGGGTTTCTAGATGGCTTACTGTTATATCCAAAGATGGCGACACCCTGTCCCGTACATACACGGTGAGGTAACTATCCCCTCAGTACTCCAAAACTTTTTACTAGCAGACAGCTCAAACCATCCACGTACGCCTGCATTCAGACCGGGCGTAATTCCTTCATTGTCACGTTCATTATAGGTCAAGCTGGACTGCGCTCGCTGCCTTCTGATTGACAAGTAAAGTGGCGCATTTTGGGGAGGGCGGAAACAATGCATACTTCAGGATAAACTATTCGTCCCAACCCCCTGTTCCGGTCCACAAATTACGCCCTCCAGACCCAGACACACAAAATAGTAACTCCGACCGTTCACCCAAACATTCCAGACAATAAATTGTAGATGCGAGGAGGGGAGATAAGAGCTTTTGAGAAAAACTGGCGTTTGACCACGGTTGTTCCTATTTTGGATACCCTAGAATTTGGTCTACGGTGAACAGTACACGCAATGTTGAATCGATTAAGGCGTGGTTTTTGTCACATTTCGTCCCAGCATTAGTAGCAAGGCATGTGGGCGTGGGGGGAGGCGGGAGAAGGGAGGGGCGCCCAGAGGTAAACAGTGCTGTCCAAAAGTGATGAAAACTTTTATGGCCGCATAGCTGATGAACTCTGTGGGAGGTAATATTACTGCGACTGTCTGCACGTTATGGCGAGTAGAGATAAGCGGTCAACTTGCCTTGTGGACCACTCAGATCGGTGAACTGCAGCTCCTGTCGCGCCAATACACTGTACGACAGATAAGCCAGTACGAGGTGACAACGCAAGTTCAGGGTGGTTACAGAAGGAAATAGCTCACAGCTTCCCTACTGGAAAGCTTCAGCTTGAGTTTCACCTACCCGATTCTCTCTTTACTCTTGAGAAGTCACGTGGAAATTTCACGACAATCCCAAAGTGATGGGCGCTCGTTCTTGCGCATAACTCACTGTAACAATTGGACCCCTGCGTTCCACGACATTCTACTTTAAAACAAGTAGAAGAAGGCTTTAAAAAAGGTTATTTTTTGGATGTAACAACATGGCCTGACAAAGAATAAGGAATGTTTGTGTACACACAGACGCATTAGGATGCACTGCCCACTGATTGTGAGACTGGTTAGAAGACGTCTGCAACCAACCTGCCCGGCTCAGTGAATAGAACGGCAGACATCTACACAAGGTGAGATACCAACGTCTCGCTCAACAACAACCAGCATTTGTTTGTGCAGTTTGAAACTTGGAGAGTTAATGCACAAGATCTGTCACTAAAGTAAAAATCACCTCACGTCCTGTATGAATTTCGGGGACTAGTTTGAATCAGGCAGATACCCTCAGGCGCTTGGGTGCTCTTTCAAAACGAAAAGGGTTAATATAGAAGCCCCAAGCACCTGATTTCTTTTGACGTGTTATGTTTCGCATTCTGCTCATCACAGAAAAGGTGTTCTAATAAAAGATCCACCGAGGATGCCTGTTTCGCTTCGGGGTGATTCTCCCTAAATCCCCGTGGGATTCATCGGACTGCTGTTTAATGGAGTAACAGATAAGGCGAGTCTTTCACAATGGACCGGACGCTGATCTCCTCCGGGTACACAAGAGGAATTTCTGACATTCTGTACCTGCTGATCCGCACGCGGGAGCATGACAGTCGGAGTTTGATCCCACCCCTATCCCAACCCCAAGGCGGGTATAATCGCCCCCATTACGCTTGATTAGGCTTCCTTCCTCAACATTTCGAATGTCTGCTTTTTCAGCATTCGCTGCTTGTTTTGTTGCCTGCGCAATCACAAGAAAGTATATTGTTAAAAAACGTCACTTGTAATCGATGGGATCATCTACCGTATGGGACCAAGTTATTAATTTAGTTAGTGTGTAGTCCAGTTTAATCTGCCTGCAAACATGTGTTTTAATATTTAACAACGAGTGGATGGTCTTCGTATGATCAGAGAAGGGCATCGGCTCTGGAAAATGTGATCTGTGTTCAACCGCCCAATGGGTCTGCTCAAGTTTGGTCTTCTATGTCGCCGTTGCAAGCATCCAACTGCATCTGAATGCCCCGGTTCTGGAAAGAGACGCCTGTAAAAACCCATGCAGTTTTCTTTAACCTAAAAAAACTGGTATGACACGCAACGCACACTGACAAATTTGCCAAACTGTGCGCAAGTTCACAATCTTCATCGCGCGTCGGACACAAAATTCTCAGTGTTGATGAAAAGAAATCAGCATTATCGTCGTCATCAGTATCACCATCATTATCCTCATTGTCAAGTTAACTGTTGAGCGGTAATCGGTAGTTGGGTGGCAGACCTCCCGAAGGGTACGAGTGAAAATTCACAAAGAGATCCGTAAACTACTCGCCAAGCACGACCTCCGATAAGGGTGACAAAGCTTTGCAGCGTTTCTCAGCTCTTTTGGTCCACGTTGACTGTTTGAGCGCAGACTTATTCAAGTGAGTTTGGGTGGGCAGATATTTCTCGTCGCTTGATTACTAGCACCAGCAGACGGGAGGCGAGCGCAAGTAACTCAGAACGGTCCATATTCTGTGCCTGTTTGCCTTTGGCGTGCTGTTGCTCGAGTGAGTGACGATCGGGAATGAGAAAACGCTAAAAATCCTTTTACACTCCAGACAATCCAACGTAACCCGAGTATTTGCATACCATCACGTGTGGTAGCCTGATGTGAAGGTGAACGGACGAAACTTATCCAAGTCTTCTCTTCGTTAGTGACTAAAGACCGTAAGAGGATCTGTCTTCAAGTAACGTATTGGGATTCACTCATTAACTTTGAAGCTGATACCGTTTTCTAGATTATTACACATACAAGTTTCTGTTTGAACCATAGAGAGCTCGTTCCCTCCGTATAACGCACTGCCAAACTCCTTGTTCTATCGTCCCGTCGTTTAATACGTCTTGGACATTAAAGTCCTGTATCGTCCTTCTATTATGACACGTTGATGTCACAGATTTGGTAGGCATCCATCAAGAAAATTCCTTTAGGGGCAGGCTTTCATAATTTGTCTTTTTTCCGAGGTTGATGAACGTGAATTGGAAGCTAACAGAAATTAACTGCAAGCTTTGTTCCCACTTGTCAGTTAGTGCCAGATCGAACAGACAACATACATAGATCTGTGTAGTCACTTCAGCCAGGGAAAAAAGAGTGGTTTGCAACGGTATTCTTTGATTGAAGGCTACTACTGATGACTTATCAGCATATGATCCAGTTGGGGCATACCTGGTTCCTGGATGTCAGAATACTCGGTGCCGTCATTCATGTTGCGAATTGTTGCTAGGCTATGCGCTTCGCGATGGGCGTTGAAACCAAATCGACCACCCAACCATGCTGGTAGGGATCTGGTATTCAAATAATCGGAGAAAATTACGGATTATATTGGCTGAAAATGCCGGTAGCTGCGACTGCGACGACTGTTTTCATTCAACGCACAGGACGACCGGATTCCGTTATCTTGGTTAGACAACTTGGCCCGGATAGACAGATAACATCTTTCTGGTCCTCAGAGCTTCAGTCTACGGAGATATTTCGGTTATGGCATACACGTTGAACAACAAACTCGGTTGATCCTTGAGAACCGAAACAAATTAATGGACATTAGTGGACCGCGCCTGTCCGATGGGTCTCCATACAGCGGTAAATAGCTGTCTAGGAATTTCGATCAACTTTTAGGCAGTGTCGTATCTTGCAAGGGCCAACAATGTTTACAAGTGTGGTGTTTTAGGATATATGAGGGCAGATTCTCTACAAGTATCCAACAAAATGATTTTATTGTTTTTCCGATCCTTTCATAGAACGCTGATGGGCGTCTTCAAAGCGAGGCAGTTACACAGCATTCAACATCACACACAACCGAGGTTGCAACACCTCTGTGTAATATTCCTGTATATTAGCGCTGTTCTTCTCAGAACGATTGCCGCTCATGACGCCCAAACGACCAAAGGGCGCACAACCACCGGAGCACGTGAAGCCACTGAAATGGACCGTTCGAACAAAAAACAGCAGCAGGTGAATTCTCTGTTCAATGCAGCTGAGGATCCGGAATGGCATTTGACCCCTTTTCACGAGATCGTCGGATCTCATCTGACGGACAGCAGCTCACATAGATGCGAACCCATCAGTTTGGCCTTGTGCAAAGGAATGGAATATCAGCATACACGAATGCCAAACATGTTCAATCACGAGACACAGGAGGAGGCTGGACTTGAAGTAAGCGCACGACTGAAGAAAAATTCACTTCGGATCTTATATTTTGTATGCTTTGTATAGAGGTTCGTAAATTGCATCACGTTACGTTGTAGGGAATGCAGCAGTACCTTGTTTCATGCGCACTCATTCGCCTTCTTTCCGCTTGTTTATAGCTTACGGTCCTTTGGTGTTCGCTTTTTTGATGCCTGTCGACTTCCCCTGTCTAGGCTTGGGCAATCTAGCATATCCCCGCCCTCGTGCTTCCTTCTAAAGACATGGCAGGTAGGCACCGAAAGGATACTACAGCTGAACGACGTTCCACAACCTGACAGTTAATGACAATTCATTACTGTGTAGGCGCTATTTAGTTCCTCCATATAATGTAATAAATATTGAGGAGTATTCGGTGTATGCAGGGATAGAGATAGGGGTCAAAAAACAGGTAGTTGGGCAATAAATAAAATTCCTCTGACCTTTTTTTTACAGTAAAAATGCAATATTTCAATAAAACTAGGAATTCGGTGGACGTACTCGACAAATTTGAAGAGCTTCATGGATATGTGTCTGTTGACCATTCAAAAAAATGGTGCTAATTGTCGTTCCTTTGACTGTCGAAAGATAAGTTGTGGAGAATTTGAAATCATTTCTGTCTCGAGATTGATGCTTTTTAATTATTTGTCCTTGTGACTGCAAACAGAGTTGTTGAAGGAATGTGAACACTTTTTCCTCACTCACAGCTGCCGTATGGATGCGGTTTGCTCCGCAAGAGATGTTTCGGATACTGTATTTGTATGTTAGACAGTGGCTCTCAAGTTCCCAAGTTAATCAAGCCCCTAAACATAATGTGAGTAAAGCAGTTTCCTGCTTGCTTCACACCGAATCTTTACTGAGAATCCTTCGCCAGCATTTGCACTAACTAATCTTCAAAAGAGAATTTTCACCTTACTATCTCATCAGACTTTCAGATGGTCTTCGCTCCCTGACACTGAAAAACAGTTCGCACGGAAAACACGTTTCGTGATTATCTCCTGATGTACTGGCATTTGGGATGATGATGATGTCATCGCCTTTCAGCTTCCTTTCCTAAGAAACTACTTTGCGATTCCAGTTCTTCCGCCTTTGTGTTGATATCAGAACATACACTCAGCTGAGGTCCCCTTTCAGTGCACTGCTGCCATGCAGCCCGAAGGAAGCTCAAGGGCTGAAGTATTGTCAGGCTGCCTGAGCCAAAACACGAGCAATCGAAAGGACAGGGTTTGGTTAGAATTACGAACTTTCTAGTTAATCTAGCACCTTAATAACTCAGTTATCCCCAGTTCCACCGAATCATCTCGAGCTTTTCAGAACACCGTCCTGTAACTGTGGAAATGTGCATTGGTCCCAACATCACTTATAAGGCCAGTAGGAACTCTTCGACTCTTCGACTGTCCACTGCCGGTTTCTCTCTTCTTGGAGCTCTACTTGAATACCGAATTTTGCTGAACCGAGGAAATATATCGAGTTTCAAATTACATTTGTGTAAGCAATAGACTCTAACGAATCCCAACTGAATCTTTTATTTGTGGTATCCTGTAAATGAATGTGCTACACAAAGGCCTCCTTGTTTTTCAGTTGGAGCAATAATCGAGATATCTAAGTCTGTTCACTGTACTCATAAAGACCTTACAAATGTCACTGGATCAAGGAACCTAATTCAGCGGCTCCAACATCACCTCAAACGAAACATGAGGTGATCTTCGTGCATAAAATTTAGTTTGGGATTATCAAGAGTAGACGAATTAACTGAGATGCAGTTAGGTTTCCCACACAGTTTTAGTTATACGAACTCATGATTACAGTGGGCAACAGTGGCGAGGAACATAGTTACATGATCAGACAACGGCAATGAGAAATGTAGACAGCTATCAGGCATTGGTTCTTTTATCTGCTATTGTTTTCCGCTGCCACTCACGCGGTATCTTTGTCATACCTCCCCTTGTTGACAGAGACTTGATCATCCCCTTCAAGTATTAATGTAATAGACTTAAGTTGGATCAGTCAATAGAGGTAAGCTACCAAGATTTTATCCGACTCTGTAAGGTCGAACCGGACAATGGCAAAAAACGGCCTTCTTTGCTCTGATACTCTGAAAGACATCAGGATCAAAACAAGTTTGTTTACTGGCTTGCGAGTGTGCCCATCAACCCGTACAGTGTTCACCGGCATTATTATTGTCCCGATAGTATCACTGATGGTGACGGAAGGATTCACCGACAAAAAGCCAGTAGAAGCAGAATAGACTTGCGGTTGAAATCGTGCCAATATTTACTGTAAGTTTAGAATCGCATGCACTACAAATTTCAAACGTTTTTTGTCAGAAGAGGCCCTAAGCGAATCTATGCAAACATATCCAGACGGTTACAAGTCAGATAATAGGAATGTTGCCTCTCGTTTAAAGTGGCGGGATTTTATCATTAGATCGGATGACAGCAGAGTCAAACTTGTGGTTTAGATGCCCTTGGATGTCTACTGCACTTTCTTTTCGACAAAAAAACGAACAATTGTGCTCTATGGGTTCTGAAATGTGTCGCAAAGAAAAAGTACACTGCGTCTATTACCAACTGCCCTTTATTTCCCCACGAACAAAGTGTACCAGCTGCAATTCGTAAGGGGCATGTGATAGTCGGTCACGTATTGTAACAAACATGCACTCACCTTTGTAGATGGATCTATTTTTTCATTCTCATTTGCTTTTCTTTTAACATTGCACGGAACCTCAGTAGTTGACTATGTTCTACATTACTTCATTCAAACATGAAGTGGCACTATTATGCTTGGGCGTTCAACAGGCGTGAATTTCTTAGTTGGCTAAACGTACACACACTTATCTAACGTTGAAGTACGTAGTATATTAGCGCATGTACTATTGGAGTTGAGAACAATGTACCTGTAACTACCGGACAGAATAGAGTAGATAACGAGTAGCTTGTTCAAGGTTGTTGACCTGCCAGTTACTTAGAGGGTCCTCTCTACGTGACCAGCTAGGTCATCAACGAAGCAGCTTTGAAGGTATTGTCTTTGAAAATAGGTTGTCACGAATTGCATCCTGTCTACCCCACGGTTTTCGCACACACGCCACTCCGTAGGTCTACAAATTCTCACGCACACTCATGACCTTCGGGGTCAGTTAGCACCAGGCTTGTTGTGTTTCGACGGCAGTCTGTTTGTCTTGACATCTCATTCATGGCTAAATGATACCTTGCTGACGAGAATACAATTACTGTCATTCATATTCTGAGGACTTGTTGTTAGAACACAGTTGGGTTGTTGGCAGTGAATGGAACCAGTCTTGCTGAATAGTTTACGCGCAGCAACCTGAGGTCCATGATGAAAGGACAAAGTCAATCTTTGCTTCCACGAGGACCTCATGAAAGTTGATACACAGAAAATAAGTAACCTCGATCGTTGAAATTGTAAAATGATCTAAAATCTGAATACGCAGAGTTTTGGAAAAAGTAACTTCATCAGAGTGACCTCAGGCATCTCCAAACTATAACACGTATTGTAATTACAAATAGCCCCAAAAGATAATACACTGAATCAGTACGGACTGCAGACGATAGTTAACGGATTCGGAAAAAAATCGTTTACTCCTAAAGAACAAAAGTCAGACATTTGCTTGAGGATTTTTCCGCTAGAAACCTTTCCAGGATATCACTAGCATCATCAATAAAACAAAATCTTTTTTATGGAAACACAGAGGTGAGGTTCATGGTTCTCCAATCACCGAGGATGTTTCTGGTGGCTTGGTGACCTTGGAAAATTTTCATGGGAAGCTCATCATTAAAGGACGCCCGGGAAAAGGTTCAAACTCACAGTCATGTTGTACTTTAGCAAACAGATAGCACGTGTCTGGACAGGTGAAAAATGACATCAATTTCTCCTACTTTATAGTCTCAAGCAAACTTGTCGGATGCTATCTGAAGGGAAACTGGTCAGTTTGTACAATTCATAACTTCAGATAAAAGCTATTTAAGAGTTCTGGGATGCGAAAACGCTAGCCGTTCAGGCAGTTCTTTGTCTCAACCCTCGAGAGTTAGCTTAGGGAGCGGCTTGTTGCCAGTACCCTTGGACCTGAGTGAGTTCCTGTGAGTTCCACGATTACTCCAGCACTGTCTTCAATGGTGATGACAATAACCGCATTGTTTCCTCAGGGGATGCCGTGTCGTTTGAAGAAGCAGAAAACTAAAAAGTCTACCTTGCACAATTTCTGCGCATACCGATGGTATTCAAATTAGCTGGTGTCTAAATTATCAATTTTGGGATGCAGACAATGTCTATGTGACTGTAAGCCTCAGAACTATCTTGCGGAGAAATGAATTGCGGTAATCAAATGCAGTTCAGCCGCCTTATGATTTAGTGTCAGTGTCAGCTGGGCAGGTGGGCAGCAACTAGGAGCTGGAGGGATAGCCTCTGTCATGTGTGAACGCTCACTGCAGTCGTTGATTACATAGACTCGGAAAATATTTTGATCGTTTAGTCTGCACAAGGATTTATGACCCAGTAATGCGTTACTCAAACAAGTGATCCGATCGGTTAAGACCCACAGACATAACAGGTCTGAACAAAAGTTCACAACGATTCCAACAAACAGTCCCAGAGTTTCCGGACTGCAACCGGAAGCTTGATGCTTACCTTACGCGTTCATGAGAATGAGAAAAACCCTTGCTGTTTCGTTTACAGCAACAACCTGTGCAGAGAATGAAGATGAAAGAAACTGCATTCTTTTTGCCTCATATTATTTGCCCAAAGCAGTGATTCAGTACCGCTTCCTGTATCTTCTGTGTCAGGTCAAAGGAGAAATGCCAAAGCTGTGATGGTTGATCACCACATGCTAGTTTAGCTTGGAAACGAGTCATTTCTTAATTCTCAGTTGCCTCGTTAGACTAGACCAGTCGGATACGAAATAGACATACGCTTAATTTCATCCACTTTCCAACACCCTGAATGAGTCAGTAGTCACGCAACGACCGGATATCGAATTCCCGACAATGTCACTCCTCTTTTAGTTGGCGGCATAAAAAACGGAAAGATAGTCGTCCTGCTTTTGAAGGAGTTGTTTATTTCTTCCCCGGGGAAAATAAACACCTTTGTTAACAGTGGTAGCGTGATTACGGCAAACAGTGAAATATATGATATTGATGATTAACAATTTTTGTTTCATCACTTGCCAGTTTTTTTTCAGATTTTACGGAACGACGTCAAACATCTAGGCTGACTTAGTTCACTGCCCACTGAATTCTAAATCTTTCGATAAAAAAAACCCCTACGTCCAACTAACAGGGACAGGTGATGAATCGTAAATAAACAACCATAGTCCCAGCTTGGGTGTGGAAGACACATGTCCCAAAACGAAAGAATAAAGTAAATGAACAAACATTATTTTGAACAGCGTTCATCACTTAAAACAGGTGACATCTGGTTTTGGTGTCTACCTGGACCTCCGGTTAGTTCAGCCGAATCCATGTGCTTTTCAAACCTGGCTAGCTGTCGGAACATTTGCATATCATTAAAGCAAATCGCTATGGTTTCCACAGGGTGAGCGGGTCGTAGGAACTGTTCGAATTACGAACAAATTATTTTACTTCACTGTTGATATCAACTCTTGGTTTGATAAATCAGGTCTTAGTTTTGTAGCAAAACACATACGATTGTATTCTGCGAGCAAAAATTTCAATGAAGAGAATCCCTTTCCATTCAACCTCACATCATCTGGTTTCGAACTCCTAGAAAAGCATGTCCAACGAATGTATAATGTATTAAGTCGTATTATTTTGAACCATTTTGGGTTTAATCACCAAGATAAATTTGAAAATCCTGAAGATTGCGCTTGTTCGGTAGGATTGGAAGCAACGTTGGGTCTTGGCCAACTTGTCATCAGTCGAACGGGTGGGGTGTATAATCCTTTCTTCTGGAATTATTTTACCTTTGAGAAGACCTAATATGCGACGATAGTTCAGCGTGACTAACAGAAATCTCACAACTGTCTGAGGTAGCGAGACAATTATTATTTTTACTATCAGTTTTTACCTGGATTTGAAAGTGGCTCGTAAATCGTCGAGCTGTAACACCCTTTTGGTGCCTAACTGTCATGCCACCCGGAGGAAGCACGAGGGCTGCGATACTGCCAGGTTGCCCAAGCCGAGACAAAGGAAGTCAAGTGGCAGATGTCGGGTTCGAACCACGGACCCTCCGGTCATGCCATATCAACTTGAAAGTGACTACTAGGGTTTTGACAGATAGCATTCACAAAGGACATTATTAATGGGGGCCAGGTCACCTGTTCATTTATTAATGAGCAAATAATCTGTTCCAATTGTTCAATAAAGCCCTCATAAACGTGTACTGTTTTCACAGTAGGGTAATAATAGCTTATTTGCATATTTAGTTATTGTTCGAAGGGGCAGATAAATCAACTCAAAATGCACCTTCCGTTTCTGGAGTTCTTTGATCTTACATGCACTGAAGTGAAGACACGCTGGTTGTGGTATATCGATGACTTTCCATCGGTCCTACATTACTACTTTTAAGGCTCAGTGAGTAGTCCAATCAAAGGGCTTGTCGTTACTCCAAAGAATCCGTTACTTTCAAGCCGTAATTTCAAGGCTGAACTGTCGGCAGATTAGAGGGTCAAAAGGAGGGAATGTATGATTTTTACGGACACCGGACTTGTGCCCGAATACGCAAATAACTGAATAAATCAATAGCGTATCACATGTAAGATGACTCACTGAGTTTGACTTACAAGAACGCTATTTCGTGGAAGATTAAATCCACTAAACTGAACAGAGTTATCCGCTGCAGCTCACTTCTACGGGCTCCACGCATTCTCTTGGCCTCCGTAGCAAACAATATGGGAACGATGTGTTTTTGCCTGCATTGTATTCTCTCAGTTGTTCTAGTTTAGAAGTTACCATTTAAACAAAAGAAACCCAGAAAGCAACTAAGTAATGGTTTCCGCGGCGACAGAAAGTCGAAGAAAAACTTGGTCAAATAGTAATCGCAAGCGTTTGTTGTTGGCACATTTTTTTGAATGAGATCCTCTTCGAAATTCTACAGCATCCGGATATGTGCTTTGGGGGTGTAACAGAAGAATATAACGAAGAAATCACTGGCCAGCAATAGCCAGTCTACCGAGGAACAATTCCAGCAACGGAAAACTGATGAACATAGGATGTGTGACGTCTCAAGTTTACCGGCACAAACAAAAAACGCGGGAAATTCTGAATAACGTCATGCGTACATACTTTACATTCAGGGTTCTTGCAGGTGAAATATCACTCGCAGTCACAGTTAGGAATCTGTCACGTAGTGGACTGAAGGGGAGGAGAAACAGCACGTTCTGATTTAGTCTCGAATTCCCATCAGCCTTATTTCCTACTTTAACACTAAAATGTTCCCATGTTACCCTAAACACACACTTATAAACTTAGCAAGTGTTGATGGCATAATCCGTTTAACTTTATCCGAATCCCCCGTTATTAATGGTCTGTAAGTGAATGTCTTGAGCAAAGAGCACTTCTTGCTTCAAGATATCGAAGTGTGCCTCAACAGTTTGTTGAACTTTTGGACGGCCCAGTACCAGTGAAAGAAAGAAGGCCCTCGCTGTGAGGTTGTTTATTGGAGGACATCAACTGAACAGTTACAGACTATTGGACAGAAAAGCAAAACCCTCATATACATCTTGTTTATAAAAACTGAGTATCCTGAACTTCTCCACTCATTGACTACCACTCAACTGTAAACGAATGTTACGAAGCAACTCCACAACTTCCGTAATAAATCTCACTTTTCAATTGACGCGAACTGGATTTAAGAGAAAAACTACTCGCATGCCTCAACAGTAGTGTTATATACCGGTTTCCTCCCTTTCAAGGCTCGTTTAGTAGACCCGGTACCCTAATCCTAATATTTTGTGGCATTATGGACGTAGAAATGCCCACAACACCACATCACCTTTGGACAAGTTTTTGTGGGAAGTGATCGAAGCCGTTCACACTGGCCGATGCAGACTCGATGTGGATTTAGCAGGGCAATTTATCTGTTGACATTCCCCCATTCATCCCACTGTCGTTAGAAAGATAGTTCATCTCGGTCCGAGTAAATTGTCAAAGTAATTATTTCTTGAGTTAATGCATGACCTCCTTCCTGCTTTATCTCCAAGCCATGCCAGTACATGATGTCAACTGTACACAAACTTCTTCTACAGGTGCTCACCGAACCTTACCTGACACTCGGTTGGATGTATTTCTACCCACCAAATTTGTGTTTTTAGTTCCCCCTTAGCTAATTGTTTTTCCACCCAAAGGTCGTAAATTCCCCAGATGTTTTCTTTTGCTGCATAGTCCCAATCCAGAGTGACATTCCTTGTTAAATGGCTGCAAAAGTGCAAACGAACCTGGTGAACTATTATTTACAACAACCTTAATTCGCGGTATATTATATCATAAACTTACAAGTTCAGTTCTGGTAATCACATTAAATAAAAGTGCGACGTTGTTTGTACGTATCGATATCTGAAACACCACACGAGCGAGCTGGTTACCAGGCCCCAGTAACATGATGATTCATAACGATTGTTCTTTCGCGTTGTTATCATGAAACCGAATGCAAAGGAGTTATGAATAGCTGACTGTTCACCGGACGGTTGGTGAATACTGTTTTGGAATACCATTTTGAAGGTTGTCCCAAGACAGAAAGAACGTTGACTTGGGTAAATTTCAGGTTTCATCATTTGTAGAAGTCTTAAATTCACATCTTGGATCAAAGCTTCATCTTGATGAGGATGGGGTGAGGATAGTACAATATGCTACAAACATTTGGTTTCAACGGTGACTCAACTGAACCTCAGCTGAATCACCCGTTTACAATATTCTTCAGCGGGATGTGTTGCGTAAAGACCGCCTCATGTTTCAGCAACTTTACTGCGGTTTCTCGAACACGGCCTTCGTGAAGCACATTCAGTTGAAGAACACTGTAGACGAGTGATTCAATATGGATTCAGCTATTTCTCAAGTCTAAACGAAACTGGTTTACAAATGAATGCAGTTCGCAAATTTTGTACAATTTGGACGGAAACACGGGAACTACGCCTGCCTAATGAGCCTGATAAAGGACGGAACCAGTCATGAGCTGTCGAAGAGTTTTCAGCAAACTTATGGATAGTTTCCTTCATCACGCTTGTTTAAATGAGAAGAAAACCAAGTTAGATGGATTGTGGTAGTTTCCCTTCATACTCACTAGCATTTGCTCACGGTAATTCGATATACTGCTGTGGTAGTAGGATTTTTAGAGTGGATCGAATACATCATCCTCTAAACTGTCCTTCTGAGTAAACTGACGGTTTTTTCTCTCCTGAACTACAGGCCCATCAGTTTTATCCGCTGGTTCAAATCAATTGTTCCGAAGATCTGAGATTCTTCCTCTGTTCCATCTACACCCCAATTTGCATCGAGGGATATCCGAGTTTTCTTCCCCCGTGTCGTTCCATATGTGAACGAGTAAAAGCTGGATGTGCCCCAGTGATGCAACACTACAACTTTCCGTGGCCAACGCGTATGAATTGTGCTCAGTTTCCGGAGTACAACAACCCTGATGGCATTTTATGTATGGAAAGAAACCTTACGGGTCCTGAGGCTCACGCCACCGAACGAACAGGAAACATCGAGCCTCCGATGACTGTTCATGAGAAGGCCCGCATGGAAAAACCGGAGGTCATCATCCAGCTGACGAATCCGGTGGAAGCTACTGCATCGCCGTTGACTCAGGTTGACCGGCTGAATGCTGAGGCCAGCCAAATACTGCTGTCATTCGCGCGCCACAATAAGACAATGAAACAAATATTGGACCAAAGGCCTGGTCTGCGTCTGAAATGCTCGTGCAGATGTAAACCTGCTGTGTACCGACAGTATGAAAGCATAGCTGAGGTAAGTGGTCGTTTGTACTTATGGGGTAAGAAGGGGTCCAGTTTACATGGGGCCAAGAAGATAATCTAGTTGACCGTGATCCAAAAGCCATGGAATGAATATTCAGTGAAGCATAATCTTCCTATGAGTGACCTGTTTTGTAACTTCAGAGAGATCTATAGCTGTATATAAATATGGTTTCCAGTCCCCTACATCTCTCGTTTATGACGTTCCTTATCAAGTTAATTTACTAAGTGTATTAAATGTGTCCAACAGTTTTCAGCAACCTTATGAGTAATATGTTCAGGGAGACCTGTGTTTTGTTACCAGTTCTACCCACCAACGTTGAACCAAAGACTTCACCGTTCTTACGAAAGTACTGTGGGTAGTAATTGCTTTAATGGCCTCCACTTGATATCGTCAAAAGGCCAAGCTTTTTCGGCAAGTGATGTTTCAGGTTGCAACTTTTATTTGGAATCAGCCTGTTAACGTGGGGTGCGGATGGGCGCTGTGAACACCGGCGTCCTGAAATGGATGGTAACCCGGTGGATTGGTGAAAAAACTGCTCAAAGCCGGCAGTAAATTTGCGGAAGATGAGCACTCATGATGCCAGGTGACGAATGACAACAAATTCTTGGAGCGCATTATATGCACGTCCATACAATAAAGGCCCTAGCCACTGTCCAGTGATTTCAGAGAGTGAGGTTAACTGGACAGAACGCCTACCAACGTAACCCAGATAGAATCATCAAGGTTGAATTTGTTAAGAGCTGTCGCGCTAAGGTCCTCCAAACAAATCTGTACGGCTAATTGCCACTCGGTTGGGGCTTTTATGAGGTCACGCGTTGAATGCTACTACATTGCTTATTGGTCCTGGACAACAGGAGACACGACAGTTTTGTCTGTTATCCACATGTGGACGTAGAACCCAAACATGCATCTTTATTTTCTATCCACGAAAACACTTTGACATGTTGAATACAAACCCAAAGGGAAGCATGAGGAGGCCTTGGCGCTGATTTATACCGCAAATGAAGGCTTTGTTTGAGTCACGCGTTCATAAACAAGCGACTTTTGTTCCCCCTGTGAATATAACCAATTTTCAGGCGCCGTTTATTCAATCAAAGCACTCGTATGGTGGCCAGGTGGATCGTCAGACAAGTCTGATTCATGCATCCATTTTCAACCAGTAAAAAGGGCGCGCAGCAGTGATTTGAACTTTTCAACTGATGTTTTGTATACTAGCGATTGAATCAGAGCATTTAGGACCATACTGTTTGATAATATTAATGGAGTAACACGTGAGAGGGGCCGAATCAGCCTTGAAGCTTTTTCGGGGGGCGAGATGGCCCGAGTGGTTAGAGCGCGAATTTACTGACCGGAAGGTCCGTGGTTCGAATCCGACCTCCGCCACTCGAGTTCCCTGTCTAGGCTTGGGCAACCTGGCAGTATCCCAGCCCTCGTGCTTCCTCCGGGTGGCATGGCAGCTAAGCACCGAAAGGGTGCTACAACTGAACGCTTTCTTCTTTTCTTCTGAAGCTTTTTCGGCCAGACAAGCCACATGACGAAAAGTAAGCACTATGAAATAGGCCCCCATCACATCAGGACCACTTCTGAACAGCGACCACGTCTGCGTTCTCCAGGCATGCTCCGAGAGGGAAGATGGTTGATTAGACTGGGCTCCTCAGCGTAAGCACCAGTTGGAACATGTGTCCGTAGTGAAGTCCCTAAAGTCTGCTCACTTCACTCGCCCCAACACTTGTGTTTTTGTGTGCCGCGCACTACTACCTGTATGGAGTTTTCCGCGCAGTAAATTGCATCAAGATAGAAGCACTATTTCACCCGCGGCTATTTACAGTCGATAGAAATTTTGTCAAACTTCACTTTTGTTTCAACGATCGATAAACATAGCAGAGGTCACCTATTTTTGTAACGACGGTTTTGGGGTGCAAAAAGTCAGTGCTAACAACTGCCTCTTTTTGTGCCTTCCTTTGCCAGGATGACATCACAACACTGAATGAATGTGAAATGCCGTGCCATCCCCCCCAGATCTCTCCCTCCTCAACAAACTCCTGGCAGTTGACGGTATTCTGGCTCGCGTTTTGGTCCATCTTATGTCTAGCCTCAACGATGACAACTATCTTCACTTTCCTACTTGACTCCTCACGCTTCCAGTATCCAGAGCTTCCGGTAGTCTATCTTTCGGTGTGTTACTTTATGGTATCTATTGGTTACATCATTCGCGTTATGCTTGGTCACGAATCGGTCGCCTGCGAACTTATGTCACACAGCCCCAGTTACCAACGAATGGAGGTGCTTCAAACAATCAGGGGAGTGGATTATTCCAAATGGGCTGGCAATCTCGGAGAAGTGATGGACACTTCAACCCTGTCACCAATCACACCCATGCCGTTCTCCCGATTGAAGGTGCTCCGTCATGCATCCACTGGACGAGCTACTTGTGCCGCCGTATTTCTCTTCACCTACTTCTTCAGTATTGCTTCGGCTGTGTGGTGGGTTGTACTGACGTTGACCTGGCTTCTCGCCGCTGGAATGAAGTCTTCTGAAGCTTTTTCGGCCAGACAAGCCACATGACGAAAAGTAAGCACTATGAAATAGGCCCCCATCACATCAGGACCACTTCTGAACAGCGACCACGTCTGCGTTCTCCAGGCATGCTCCGAGAGGGAAGATGGTTGATTAGACTGGGCTCCTCAGCGTAAGCACCAGTTGGAACATGTGTCCGTAGTGAAGTCCCTAAAGTCTGCTCACTTCACTCGCCCCAACACTTGTGTTTTTGTGTGCCGCGCACTACTACCTGTATGGGGTTTTCCGCGCAGTAAATTGCATCAAGATAGAAGCACTATTTCACCCGCGGCTATTTACAGTCGATAGAAATTTTGTCAAACTTCACTTTTGTTTCAACGATCGATAAACATAGCAGAGGTCACCTATTTTTGTAACGACGGTTTTGGGGTGCAAAAAGTCAGTGCTAACAACTGCCTCTTTTTGTGCCTTCCTTTGCCAGGATGACATCACAACACTGAATGAATGTGAAATGCCGTGCCATCCCCCCCAGATCTCTCCCTCCTCAACAAACTCCTGGCAGTTGACGGTATTCTGGCTCGCGTTTTGGTCCATCTTATGTCTAGCCTCAACGATGACAACTATCTTCACTTTCCTACTTGACTCCTCACGCTTCCAGTATCCAGAGCTTCCGGTAGTCTATCTTTCGGTGTGTTACTTTATGGTATCTATTGGTTACATCATTCGCGTTATGCTTGGTCACGAATCGGTCGCCTGCGAACTTATGTCACACAGCCCCAGTTACCAACGAATGGAGGTGCTTCAAACAATCAGGGGAGTGGATTATTCCAAATGGGCTGGCAATCTCGGAGAAGTGATGGACACTTCAACCCTGTCACCAATCACACCCATGCCGTTCTCCCGATTGAAGGTGCTCCGTCATGCATCCACTGGACGAGCTACTTGTGCCGCCGTATTTCTCTTCACCTACTTCTTCAGTATTGCTTCGGCTGTGTGGTGGGTTGTACTGACGTTGACCTGGCTTCTCGCCGCTGGAATGAAGTGGGGAAGTGAAGCGATCTCGAAATACTCGCAGGTAAGCAATGAGAATCATCATCATCATCGTCATCACCATCATCATCATCATCATCATTGACAGCATGACATCAGTGTTCAACACTGATGCTCCATTGCCGTACAGAAAATGAGAATGCTTGAGATTGATCCATTTCTTCTACCTAATCTTATTTGTGATCTCGTTATATAAGACGCCTTAATCACATCACAGCCAATTCACTTCCCCTCACTCCTGTCGCAGCTATATCCCACAGGTGTGTAGCGTTCAGACTTATTGATGTAATTATTGTTTTGATTTCTGTTAACCTGATGCTAAATCGAACGTACTAACCATTAACCCAAATCCAGCTGACTATTCTGACGAAGATACTTACTACTAATCAGTAGTGTGATGTCTGGATTAATTTAATGGCGAGAGCTGGCAAGAACCATGCCTAGCCTCAGATCCACTGGATACACAAACCGATTAAGTGTACAGAACCCATCAACCGGAGGAATAATCCCCCATACACCGGCGTACTGCGTCCCGATAAAGGGGATGAGCATAGTGCAATGGAACTCCTCATGGGGTGGCTACATCAATCTCACAAACATCCGGTGTAACTCCGAGTCACTGACCTTACAGTTATCAAGTCTCCCTAAATTATCGGTGGCTGTTCAACTTAACCAAGCAAACCATTCTCCAGACTTGGCTTTGTCTTGTCACGGCTATGGCTGCTGAAACCATGAATTTTAACTGCGACAAACGAACTGTATAAAATCTCCTGGGAAGTTTAAGCTTAAACATGCTTCAGACTTTGATCCCGGTTCGCCCTTCTGTCTAATGGCTCCACGTTGAAGACAGCGACAGCATGTCAAACGTCATCACCGTACTTTCTTTTTTTAGGTGTTTCACTTTATCGCTTGGTCCATCCCCACCGCACTTTCGTCACTTGCGTTGTTACTCAGTGCCGTCGAAGGTGATATTCTTAGCGGTTTGTGTGTCATACGGACATCGAAGCCTCTTCAATATGTCCTTTTCCTATTTGCCCCAATGGTGATTCTGCTAGCCACCGGGATTTTATTCCTTGTTATTGGATTCATTGCGCTGTTTCGAATCCGTGGGATCATGAAGTTACAGCGAATCGGTTCTCAGAAAACGGACCGACTTGAGCACCTGATGACACGCATTGGAACGTTCGCCCTGTTATATACCGCTCCGAATCTAGTAGTGATAATCTGCATGGGGTATGAGTTACAAAATGCCAGGGCCTGGGAATTCGGGGTTGCTTGCGACTGTCATTATACAGACGCTTCAGTGACCCCCTCAAGGAATGAACCACTACCAGAATGGGATCGTCCATCTCCGGATTACCAGATTTTTATGGTCAAGCACTTTATGCATCTCATAATTGGCGTTACTTCTGGTTTTTGGATATGGTCTCGAAAAACTGTGGACACTTGGCGACGCGCTTGTCGACGGACGTGCTCAAAGAAACAAAGACGACAAAACGGAACAATGCGTTTGCTTCCCACTTCGAATCCTAACGAGTCAGACGGATCGACCAAGACCCAGTTTGTTCCCTGGACCCTCAGTGGATTGAACAATGACGGTGACAGTTCGAAAAGGCTTGTGCAAAAGCAAATAAACCGTGAACCATCATTTATCGGAAACGCCGAGTTGGCTGGTACTACATCCAGACAAAGCCTAAATGCTGTGACCCAGTGTCGAGACACTCCTACTCAACCCATCAGCAGTGTTCATTACGAGACAAACTCACTGCATCTAACGCCCTATGTGACGGGTAGAATGGAGATGAACGGGGGATATGCGCTAGTTGACGAATCCCGCGAACAAATCTTACCCTCTAGGTTGGCAGCACAAGGGATGAAAGTGTTCAATGGTGATCCCTTTCTAATTGCCCTCCCGCCAGTTCCCCCTCGGTCGGCTCTTCATCCCAGCACATCACATACCAGTGGATTTCAGACGAGTCCCAGAAAATCGACTCAACTCTCCCCAACAAATCTGTCTGCTTTCTCGAGCAGCGGGATCGGGAGTGGGTATGCCACTAACCTCGCTTTTGATATGCATTCCCAAAGCCACGGGACCTCACTCCTAACGGATTTGTCAGAGTCGGCTACAAAATCCGGCTCAGAACTATCGAACCCATTCAATGCTGAACATGTCAGAAGACACGAATCTATGCCTCATGACTGCCATCTGGAGCTTACTAGTGCCCATAATCCGTTTCAGAATCCTACCAGGTGAGAAATCACATATTCTTTGCTACTTTAATTTTGGAAGTAGTTTATATTCAATGCATTTGCAGGTGACCTTTGAGGTTCTAGACAAGTTGCAGACGATGTGTATCATTAAAGAATTCAAATGAGGATTGTTTTAAGTGTGTAGGAATCTTAAGTCTGCTAAAGCATTGATGAAAGATGAATGAGTTCTATTCTAGCTCCTCCAGAGAATCCAGTCCGTGACACGTTCTCATAGAGCACCCTTCAGACGGTTTAAGCTTGTGACAACGTAGGATTAGATTGAAGTTTGAATGAGCGGCATTTGACCTAATCTTTCTGGTCCATTCGACACAAGTCAACTTGAGGAAAAGCTGTACGCGCGGTGAGGAGTTGGCTTGTGCCTATCATTGCCGTTTGCGTGGAAATAAGTCTTACAACTTGCTTAATTTTGTCCTGACACTATGGAATCCCGGGCACCATAGTTAGGGATTTGAGAAAATGTCCATAATTTTGAGGAACGTAACACAAACGGGCGCAATTCTTGGGGAGTAAACATAACCGGACAAGACTGACCCTTCATAGCTGTCACATTTCAGTAACTTCTTCCTCAGAATCTGTAAGGATCCTGACATATATGAATCATCGAATTGATGATCGTGCAGTTTTAGCTGCAGAATTAAGGCCCAGCCGAACGACCAGGTGTCATTGTTCAACAACAGCATCTCCGATCCTTATAGCGGACGTAGACTGAAGGCCTTATGTAATGAAGAAGCGAACCACAAGTGCTACCGTCCCTGTCAAATGACAAAATGTTTTGTCTGAAATATCCTAGTAAAAGCCTGTTAAATACAATTGGAGATTTTATCCACAGTTCTACATTGCTCCGAGTGCCTCTGATTTGGAGGCTCAGAAAGTTGATCGGGTGCTTTGAATTCCCAATCATCTTTCGGATGATGTAACTCAGATGCAAACAGTCTTGTTAAAATTTTGCAGTTCAGTGCCCCTCAAATTGAATACTGAACGATTTACTTTTTTATAAAACAGTCGAAATTTCTGCATTGGAATCACTTGTTTCGGATTTTCAGGAGAGTAGTAAAAAAATGGCTAACAGTCAGTGTACACGCGGTCATCGTCAGCGACTAATTTCGCTTGAAATAATGGAGTGAGTATGAGGTTATTCCCGTATTCTCATGTTCTTATTCAAACGCACACAGTTCTAACATCCGATAAGTTAGAAATCAAAGTGGCTGTATTTAGAACATATAATCACTTATAGGGTGGCTCTTCTAACCCTCTTGTTTCACAGAACTTGTCACAACTTTACGAAGGCGGGATGTGGTCAAAGCGAAGAAAACAGTAGCCAGTGCTCCTTGGCTGGAACTGGTTATTACCAGGCTGTGGGTTCGGTCCTCAACAAAGCAAACAAATCCAACCAATCAGATGTTGAGCGCGCTCGACCGAATCCAGATGGACAGCAAAACTCTACCATTACCAGGTCTTCGATGAACATTGGAGATCAGGGAATGTCGTACAATCAACTAAAATCTGCTGGACGTTTGTGTATCCAGAAAATTTGACATGAGTCTCAACGACGCTTTTCGACCAAACGACTGATGAGTGCACTTACTTACCACTTACTAACCACACTCTCACTCGCATACAAAGTAAGAGTTCAAATCAAAGTGCTTCTTTTTTAATCATTCACTGACTTCCATATACAAAGACTTTGTTGAGGTCTTCACTGCAAACCAAAGACAATTTATCATGTTTCTTTTTAAATACGCGCTTCATGCAGCATGGTCACTTTTACTTTTTCCCGTTCACTTCTGTACAGCCATTTTGTTTTACTGACTTCTTTGTAAATATCTATAGACGTACAAATTCTCCTCAAAATATCACGTCACACATGCAGCTGAGCTTACGTCCGAATTGCACTCAATGGCATATGTAACAAGGTAAACGCTATTCGATTGGGCGCGACCAGGAGTTGACTAAGTTATCGGAACAGTGCACAGATCATCATCGACAGTATGAAACCAGTGTTCAACAGTGAGGCTCAGCTGCCGTGCGTGGGATGAGTTTATTTGTATGTGTGCAATTCATGGCTGCACGTGAGCCAGGGCGCCACATTAGATAGGAGGACGATGAAGGTAACTAACCCAAGCTTTTGACTCAAGTGCGGTGAAGTCCAAATACGTAGTAGCTGTTCGGTGTGTCAGGGTTTGCGCGTGTGCGTGTCCGTTCGTCGTTCCACCATCGATCTGGCGTGTGACTTGAGTGGCTGATTTGGTGCGTGTCCGATTGATCTGCTCGCGTGAGCGCTGTAGGCTGACTGGATATGTACTCAGTTGTTTGCTGACCCGCCACGAAAGCCGACCAAATTTGCCGCATCTGTTTGAAGGTCTGTACGGTCACGAAGAGACTGAACCTTACATTGGTGTGATGGTTACCTATTGAGCCATACTGGGTGATCTTCCTGCAGGGTCTCTCATACCAAGTTGGCCAATGGTCAACACAGTCTTCTTATCCTCCATCTTTGGGGTTGGAACATGTGTGACGACTCATTCTGTCAAAATTGAAATGCACTTGCATTTCCCGCCAAACACCGCTGCCTTGTGGTCAAGCCTTTATGCCAAAGACTGTGGTTGTGGACCCTAACCGTCCTTCTGCCCGGCTTCTGCGCCCCCCAGCCCACGTACAACTGAGAATTGTCCACTTGGTATGGAAGCGAAGCATCAGGGTTGAACACTGATCTTATGTTGTTGTTGCTGTAGCTATGACTGGTCGATGGGTACGGGTGCTTAAAGTGATTTGCAATTTAATTCCCCACTGAACCTGAATTAAACCATGTAGTGACCTCTTAACTGGTCGGAACAAGTGACCAGTCTTTTGGGACTCTTTTCTTCGCTTCCAATCAAGAAAGAATCTGATAGCGGCACACCGAAACGTATGAAATCTTGTTAAATGAAGTCTGCTTGACTGTTCCTACCAGAGTTCCTTTTTTAAACCTCATAAGTTAAAAGAATGTCTGGAAAACAACAGAGTGAGGAAAATAAAACACGATTAGTGATCTTCCTGCTCTCTCATACCAAGTTGGCCAATGGTCAACACAGTCTTCTTATCCTCCATCTTTGGGGTTGGAACATGTGTGACGACTCATTCTGTCAAAATTGAAATGCACTTGCATTTCCCGCCAAACACCGCTGCCTTGTGGTCAAGCCTTTATGCCAAAGACTGTGGTTGTGGACCCTAACCGTCCTTCTGCCCGGCTTCTGCGCCCCCCAGCCCACGTACAACTGAGAATTGTCCACTTGGTATGGAAGCGAAGCATCAGGGTTGAACACCGATCTTATGTTGTTGTTGCTGTAGCTATGACTGGTCGATGGGTACGGGTGCTTAAAGTGATTTGCAATTTAATTCCCCACTGAACCTGAATTAAACCATGTAGTGACCTCTTAACTGGTCGGAACAAGTGACCAGTCTTTTGGGACTCTTTTCTTCGCTTCCAATCAAGAAAGAATCTGATAGCGGCACACCGAAACGTATGAAATCTTGTTAAATGAAGTCTGCTTGACTGTTCCTACCAGAGTTCCTTTTTTAAACCTCATAAGTTAAAAGAATGTCTGGAAAACAACAGAGTGAGGAAAATAAAACACGATTAGTGACGCAGTGATGGCAAGAGAATAACACAGGCAAATGAGATGGAGGCATCATCCCTACAGAGAATAAAGCAAGCCCAGCACAAAAGTCATGGGTTTAAAAACACAGGCAAACACCAACCTATTAGAAACTTGATGTTTATTAAGCTAGGATGCTAGATGTCCATCGTTTTTATTTAGTTTACTACTAATATTTATCGTGTATTTTTGATGGGCATAATCGTCAACATAAAAATGCGAATCTTCACTTGAAGCCTCTTGAACCAGAGGATTATGAAAACTAAACCCGATCAGTAATAATCCAACTCCCCCAACCCATCAACCAAAGGAATTACTCAAAGACACTAACTCATAGGACCCTTGAACCGACATCAACACTTATCTAATATGGTAATCTGAAGAGGTTTTACTGATTGGTTTTCCGTTTGCCTTAAGACTTTGACAACTTGGTGAACTGCTCACTTGGCCTAATGAAGTTTTTGTGTCAAAAGCGAATCGTTGCCCGAATAAAAACTACCGATTGCTTATCAAGCACTTATGAAACTTTTCGCAAATAGTTTGGTTAAGAGACGATGCTCGAGTGATGCTTGTGATGCAGCGAAACCTTGCCCAGTTATAAAAATACCGAGTGTATACCAAACCCTTCTGAAACGATAACTTCTCAATTGGCTCCGAACTTTTCCCAAGTGACTGAAAATGCCCAATGATCTTCAAGGTGCAGTAAGCGTTAACGCAGTCAAGAATCACATATCCAACGCAGGGTCTTCACTAGATTTAGATTCGTCCGGATGGGTTTGGCAGCTGCTGAATTCTCAACTCACCCAGACTGATATACATGCCACCCAACCTGCCTCACGAGAAGGTGGTCCAGCGAACCTACTGCCACCAATACTTCTCGACTCTTTCCTGATTGCTACTCATTTGACATTCAGACAAGTGCTGAAATTTTATCCCTCGGGGTAAAGCTATTTCATGATTGGCTATCTCCCTTCAGGGTAGCTAAATGCAAGCTAATGAAAGTAAGTTTTTTTTTAAAAAAAATACAGAAGTCTAGAAGTAATGTGGTACTTATAAGGCTTCTGGAAACTCTTCGACAGTCCACGACCGGTTTCACCCTTCTTGTGACTCATCAGGTAGGCTCAGTCACCGAGTTTCCGTTCTACGTGAGCCCTAATTGCTTCATAAACGAGAGATACAGCTGGGTTCCAAGCGAGTCTCCCATCAAAACAAATTGATTTTCAAATGAGCGTATTTCACCACATAGGTCCTCTATTCCTCCCTCAATTCCACAAACATGAACAGGCGGATTTTCTTGCATTTTGAGAAGTTCTTGGATGAGACTATGTAGTATCAAAACACGTCTACACTAGAAAGGGAAAATTCTATTTTGCCGCCACCCGACAGTATAAACAAGAAATCTAGGACGATATTACTCCATGTGAAGCTGCTCCAAAAATTAAATGCGTCCTTTCTTGGAGCTAAAAAAAACCTATGCTGTAAAATGATGTACCTGAAAAAGGTATGCCAACCGAGGCTGATATACTAGTATTCTTCTTGCTTAATTGAAGTGGATCACGACCTTCTAGGAGGATAGACAGAGCTTGGAGACAGGAGTTGCAGTTTATTAGCACCCAGGATGCGCTTAAAATACGAACACACAGACAGACCATTCACAGTTTTTATGCGCGGGAGTGAGCTTCGTCGCTCCACAGGGATTTGCACACATGTATGACTACTTACCGGATGCCTTCTGTGATCCCATCAGACCGGACAGATCATGCTTCGAAAGTGTGAATCTTCGAATGCACCAAAGCATAGCCCCAATCCCACCTACTCTGAACCTCATTATCATGCTGCCTTACTTTCCCTTTCGATTTACGGTCGCACGCAGCAAAATACTTGACAGATGCGTTTAAGGTGCTGACTAACTGAAACACCATATAGAGTGATATTTTGAACAGTAGTAAGAGTTGTCCTCGGCTACCTTAGTAATTTGATGAGCTTCACTGTTCCACATGAGTCAAGGGACCTCGAATATTTCATGATGTCTATAGTACGTCATTTTGGCGGGAGTTGTAAACTTACAGAATGGGAGCTGGGGCGTCACGGCCGCACTGCTTTTAGCTACTCTACTTTCAACCATATCAGTTTGAAATTTAGTTCTGATTTGACCCCGAAATTCAACAGACTGTTGGGCGGTACGATAAGAGGTACACAAAGAAGGGTTAGACTCATCTACTGGGCGTAAGCTGGACATGCTTTGGTGTGTTTCAAGAAGCACAATTTAAGAACAACTATCGTACGCCGTATGAAGGTCGCAGAAGGCCTACAGTGAACTCATCAAATAGAGCAAACAAGCAACTATAAATGTGAGTCCTGTAGGGGTGAAAGGTCCCTTTTCACGCGCGTACATATGGTTCATGCTCTTTGTTCTGACGAATCGTGTGCGTAAAATACCGCACAGAAAGTTAGTTGCATAATCGTTCTTGCACCTTGCACTACAATACTCCGACTCGGTGCTTCAGAAGGACAACAAGGCCAAGTGGAGTCGAGGAAAAGAGGTTAAGGGTTTATGTTATGTTTTGTTGACCAAATCGTGGTTGTACTGTGATGAATCCTTACTATTTAATAGTCTTCAGTAATGACCAGTCGGTGACTGTTCCTCCAGAAGACGTCGGGTTAGAATACTTTTGCAGAGTCCTGAATGTGCACTGCCTAAGAAGAATGAAAAGGCTGTGCAGTGTTCCTCGGCAATTTGTCTTACCATGAAGACTGGAATCCCTTCTTGAAACTGCTAAATCCAGCTTTTGAGTAATTGAAACAAACTGGATAGTGAAATGTAACAACCACAAACGGGTTAGTGACGTTTTTATTCTTAACAACAAAAAATCCACTGACCACGAAATTTTCAGTGCAA